GTCCTAAGTGCCATTCACATGGCGACTGGCTCAGCACTTTGCCATAGCTGAATCTCATTAGTCCATCTATCAATTACCGACCTTCGACAGGCTCTCAATTGCTTAGCTGCGGTGCTATCAGTAAAAAAGTTGAGCTAACTAAAAATCAGCACCCATCCAACTTTGTCTTGCCCCAAAGTCCGACGGGTCAACGCGTTTGATTCCTTACCTCAAGACACTTTGTCTGTTTATAAGGATAGAACACTTAAGTCTAGGCTATTGAACTGGGATCAGACTTCTCCGTAGAGATACTTTCTTAACGAATCTGGATTTGGGATATGCAGAGATTTTGGAACCCGTTAGGGAGAGTCATAGAATATGTTTCAGATTCATATTCAAGGGGCAGCTTTTCCAATATAATGCTGTACCGTTTAGGGTAAATTGTGCCCCTCATGTGTTCACAAAGTTAATAAAACCATTTCTGGAATGGCAACCAAGGCAAAGTCGGAAACTTTTCGGTGAACATCGAGATCTTGGTGTCAGCTTGTCTTTCATTTCGTTACAGCCGACTATACACTAACGAGTGAAATTTCTTGCCTTGTAAAATTGTCAAGGGAATTTTAACGTTACCATGCCACTAACATACCTCGGCTGGGGCTCAAAAACACTGGCAGATGCGGTCACAGGTATTGAATTATCCAATTTTTAGTTGTATAATTTCTCGGACTGGGACGTTCGTTGGCCAGGGAAAAGTCTCATAGTTTTTAGTCAGCCGGGAAGAAGATCCCGCATGCTAATCATCAACCACTGGTAATTTTCTCCTGTGGTGAATGCTTGGCTACCGAATTGATGGGCTGTCGCATATTATACCCCATCAGAGAATGGAGAGTTCTAGTTTCCACGTCTGGACCAGATTGCGGGAAAACTATGGCAATTGTGTAAAGAGAAAAATCTTCCTGCCCTCGCGTCAAATATAAAATCTAGGAGTGATACTGGTACAGATAAGCTTTTTCGTCAGTGGGACGTGGAAACGGAGTGGGAGCAACACCTGTCACCGTCCTGATTTTGGTTCAGGTATTCGGTATTTCTGAAATTTCATTTCTAGGAGTAACGCAAAGATCTGATGGAGGGACCCAGGACGCCGCTCCCACTAATTCTGAAGCTTACCCTGGTTATCGTTACTGGAAAGCTGTCATTCCAATCAGCATCGATAATCCATCATGTATTATGGGCTTAGATTGCGGTAAAACCTTTGCCGGGAAGAAATACATACATGACTGGTTTTCTACCTTGAAATTTCTTACCTTACAGTGTGATAATTGTTTGAGCTATCAGTCTTAACCAAAGGGGTTGCTGGTAAGCTCTGTAGATATTTGGATGAGGAAATCAGCAACACTGCTAGTTCTCACCTCAGGTCAGAGTGTGCAAACTAATTGAAACAGACAATATCTGGATAGGGTTGAATAATATTGAAATTGGGATTTCTCAGTTTTTGAAAGTCGAGGGGTCACTCATGTGGCAACCACTTTTAGCTTTACCGTATTTTAAGCCCAAATATCTGTGCAGTCAAAGTATTTATTTGTTACTGTATAGTAACTTTATGATGGTGCCTCTGCCAGATGGATGAAGTCGGTTTTAGCAGAGAGTGTTACAATTGACAACCCACAGTACATGAAATGCGTCTACCTCTCCGCCTGCTAAATTATAGTGGTCTCAGGCTCGCGGCGGGCTGGAGTACGTTTTCTGAGATATGCCCCAAATCTCTTATGCCAAACAATAGCTTTACTCAAGCGGTACGAGGGATGTCTTTTAAGTTTTGCATATAGAAACATAGTAGGCCGCGCGGATCGAACGTCAGTACTGAATCTTAACCTCACTCCTTAGTAAACTTAAATTCAAAGTTTCACAACAATACGTGCAGTCTTCTCACTACAGTGAATTTTTAAGTGTCACCAAGTCATTAGAAAAATGGAACTCAACCGAGAACATTTTCGCGCCATAATGTATTACAACTTTCAGAGACAATTATCGCAACAAGAATGCCTTGCTGAGTTACTGTCTGTTTTCGGCGACAAAGCGCCACATCAGTCGACAATTTCCCGTTGGTATGGAGAATTCAAATGCGGACGGGTGAGTCTTAGCGACGAGCCCAGTGTGAGTGCACCAAAAACGGCAGTCACTCAGGAAAACGTCGATGCTGTGCGCAAACTCATCATTGAAGATAGACATGTGACATATCGCGAGATTGAAGCGTCCTTGAAGATCTCAAAGACCTCAATTCAGAAAATTTTACATGAAGAATTAGGAGTAAGAAAATTAGTTTCTCGTTGGATACCCCACCTGTCGACTGAAGAGCAGAAAGCAGCCAGGGTTAATTGGTGTCAAAAAACGCTTGATCGTTTCAATTCCGGAAACTCAAAAAATGTGTACAGCATTGTTAGTGGTGAGAAATCGTGGATTTACTGTTATGGACCAGAAAATAAACGATAGTCGGCTGTTTGGGTGTTCCAAGGTGAATAAAAGCCAGCAAACGTCATTCGTTCTCGACGTGTTTCGAAAAAGATGGTCGCGACATTTGTGTCAAAAGCGGGTCATATTGCAACAATTCCCCTTAATCAGCAAAGAACTGTTACTGCGGATTGGTATACCACCATTTGTTTGCCAAAAGTGATCACCGAGCTTCGAAAAATCAACCCCGAAAGAAGAATAATCCTCCACCAAGGCAATGCAAGCTCGCACACAGCCCAAAAACCAAGGCAGTATTTAACGGAAGAAAACGTGGAGTTATTGGACCATCCTCCATATAGTCCCGATCTAAGAGAATACTTCGAAAAACAATAAAGTCATTTAAAACTACCTACCATGTTGTTTTATTTCCATATGCAAAACTTAAAATACATCCCTCGTATTTGAGGTGAACCAAGTCTCCACACCGTATACATAACTATGTTATTACGTTATTTGCTTATTACCAGGATGGTAGTTTTTGAACCAGGTACGTCATATTAGGTCCGTGCTTGAGCAATGGCAAATGATGTGGACGTATGCCAGGAATGTGGCGACAACTTTATTATCAGCTCTAAAAAAGGTAAAGTGTGGTATTTGTAAGTCGAAGTTCCACAACTCGTGTGTATCGGTGAGAGACACCTGGACAAATTTTTTTTCTGAATGCGACAATATTTTGTGGCTCTGTGATGCCTGCAAAAGTTTTATTATGCCTTCAATCAACAAAGACATTAAACTTGAAATTAATGCTATGAAGACAGATTTGGAAGATCGAAATAAAGAGTTGGGCTTAGCGAATAAAACGATTATCCGAGCTTGAATATACCGTTGATCTGCAAAAAGCTTTGTTAAAGTCGTATCAATCGAAACCTCTGCCTCACAGCAAATTCGGCCTTCGTATAGCGATGTTGCAAAACAAAAGCCCAGAGATAATTCCTCTGTACTTTTAATTCGCTCTGAAAATGTGGCGATTTAGGATACTAACAAGATTCTACAAAATATCAAATCATCCGTTGATCCAGCTAGCTCGAACATGTGTGAACAGTACCTGTAAAATTCGTAATGGAGTTGCTGTTCATTGTAAGGATGATGTTTCACTCAATGCTTTGAAAACAACTCTTGGTGAAAAGTTAGCATCCAAATATGCAATTGGTGTGGCTAAAAAGCTAAACCCTAGGTTGCTCTTGAAAAACGTGAACTTGGATGGGATTGAATCTCCGGATGATAATCCAATATTACTAGATTGAATAATCTGGATGTTACACAAAAATCTCAGATGAAGTTTGTTACTAAGTTGAATTACAAAAGCAACGTTGATATTGTCATCGAGGTAAGTCCACAGCTGAGAAAGTATCTACTTCAGCTTGGCTCACTGTTTGGGTTGGAAAAAATCTTACATTACCGATCATTTGCGTATAATTAAGTGTATGAAATGCTGTTCTTTCGGTCATATGGAAAGGGACTGTAAGACAGAGCTCATTTTTTTGTCCGAGATGTACCGGCAAACATAAGCTTAAGGAATGCAAATCTGAGGCATTGCAATGTTCTAATTGCCTTAACCACAATAAATTATATAAAAAGAATGTGTTGTTGGATCATTCCACTAACTTTCCTCGTTGTCCTGTGTTTCGGGCATATGTCGAAAACCTTCAGCAGCGTGTGAACTATGAATGACACTTTAAAGATTTGTCACTTGAATGTGCGATCTCTCACAGCTTCTTTTGACGAGTTTTCCTGGATGGTGCAAAGCAAATTTGATATAATAGCTGTTACCGAAACTTGGATATCTGCAAATATCCCCGATGATTGTGTGAATATGAATGGCTATAATTTTTTACGTAAGGATAGGCTATTAGGGAGGGGCGGAGGAGTTGGTCTTTATTTTAAGCAAGTATTCCAGTTTAGACCAGTTGAAGTGAACCTCTTGGTTAATATCATGGTTGATGTACTGTATTGTAAGTGCAAATTTGGTTCCTCTAGTTGTTTATTTATTGTGGCTTACAGACCTCCTCATTGTCCAGTTAATGCATGCATTAGTCAAATTGATAATTTCATCTCCTTTTTCTTGCCTCAATTTGATAACATAATCATCTTGGGTGACATGAATGTAGATTTGATGGATCCCAGCAATGCCCTCAGCGGTTGTTTTGATTTCTATGGCTTTAGACAAGTGACCGATGAACCTACTCGTATAACTCGCTTCAGTTCCACCTTGATTGATGTAATATTTGTTAGTGATGTAGATACCGTTTTAAATTCTGGTACAATGAATGCTGACTTCATTTCTGATCATAGGTTAGTTTTTTGCGAATTAAATATAGGAATCAAACATGCCGAAGATAAATTTGTGACTTACAGGCATTACAAAAATATGCATATTGCCCAGTTCAAGGAGGATTTAGAGATGACGGGCCTACACAAAATATTCTATGTCAGTGACGTTAACCAAAAAGTTAATATACTTACAGAGACATTACTCCAACTGTTCGATTACCATGCTCCAATTCGGGCAGCGCGCGTCACATAGAAACCTGCCCCTTGGCTAACATTTGCGCTGAAAGCCATTTTCAGTGAAAGGAATAAAGCTTTAGCAACATTTCACCAGGATCCTTCCGATTGTAATTGGCAAATTTATAAAGATATGAGGAATTTCACACTTGCCTCTCTTAGGCGCGAAAAAAGGCCTATTTGTCACGGTTTGATCAATAAAATTCGAAGAAAGCCTGCGATCAACTTAGGATGATGAACGATGTCCTCAGAAACATATTGAGATTCCATTAAATTTATTAGAACCAAACGAAGTTAATGACCACTTTTTACTAAATTTTCAAAATACCATACACATTCCCATTTAATTGATGCTACAACTGAATTTTATCAACAGAATTTATTCGATGGTAATTTAACATTATCTGTGTTTAGACCTGTGAGTGTTCAGGAGATCTTAGATATTTCTGTCTCGATAAAGTCGACTGCAATAGTCTGTGATGGTATTGGTGTGGACATGTTTGGACTTTGTTTACCTGAAGTACTTCAGTATCTAACTCATATTGTTAATATATGTTTGGAAACTGGGAGCTTTTCTAATGTTTGGAAAGAAGCAATAATTCTTCCTCTAGCCAAAGTAAAAAATCCCATAACTCTTGATCATTTACGACCCGTCAGCATACTGTGTTTCTCTTCAAAGATATTAGAAAAAGCTGTTTATCTCCAACTAATTGAATATTTAGAAATGAACAATTTACTTCCTGTTCATCAGTCTGGATTTCGTGCTGGACACAGTACAACTTCTTCACTTCTCCATTTGACAGACAATATCTTAAATAATATCGGTAAACATATTAATACAGTTTTAGTTATGGTCGACTTCTCTAAGGCGTTCGACACTGCTAACCATAAAATTTTGTTGAGTAAGTTAAAGTATATTGGACTTTCTGACATTCCGCTTAAATTTTTTGAAAATTACTTAACTAATCGTAAACAAAAGGTTAAGACAGTTAGAGGTGTCTAATCTTCTGTTGCCATTTCTTCAGGTGTCCCTCAGGGCTCTGTCTTAGGTCCTTTACTGTATTTGATATATACTTTTGATTTACATTCATGTATTGAGCATTGTGCTATACAAACTTACGCGGATGATACGCAGCTTTCTTTTCATTTTGACTTGTCTCATCTGGATGAAGTGTCATATAAGATTAATTGTGATCTTGCCAACATCACTGATTTTTGTAAAAGACACATGTTGAAGATTAATCCGGATAAGAGTATGTACTTGCATACTTTTTTATCATAAACATTTGCATAATAGAGTAAGGGACAGAATTGCATTGAGCATCAACAACGAGCTCATTCCTATTGTGGAAAAAGCAAAAAATCTTAGTGTCATCTTTGACTCTAGTTTAAGATTTGACAAACATGTGTGTCATCTATCGAAGTCCAGCTACATCAAATTAAGACTGCTATATGCTAATAGATTCATTTTGAACTTTAAAACGCGTAAGAAGCTAGTAGAAAGTTTGATAATGTCCAGCGAAGTAAATAGCTCCCTGCTTCAATACGTATCACCCAATTGTTGCAACAACTTGGCTTTGAAGAAAATGAATGTTTATAGGCAGCTAGAGGGGAGGAAGGTAGTGGGAAGGGCGCGGTGCCGGTGGTGGTTTGGTACAACTATGAGGGTACTACGATATGTATTCTAAATATTTACTTCGACGAGGACTTCACATAATTAAGATCAAATATCACTTATAGTTCATTTGATCATGTTATTCTTGTAAATAGGGGAGACGTACTTATATATCTATTAAGAATTGATAAGTTGAAATTTGATATAGTTATATAGATGAGTATTTTTTACACAATAGTTGACTAACTCAATCATCAGACTATAAGACTAGAGCACTTGTCATTAGGAATCAAGCAAGGCTCTATTCGATGGGTTTCCAAGTCCACTTCCTGGCTTCATCATCAAATATCTCCATGTCATAATTATATTGTAAAGTCAATTGTCATATTAAACGTGTTTCTTTCATGATTCCCTTTGATTTTATATCTTTAATATGGGGGTGACTATGGAAATTATAAATCGATATTTGGTGGCGGCCCCCATACTGGATCTAGAATGACGCCACGCATCTCCCTCATCAAGCCCTTCGAGTCGATAACCATATAACTATAGAAATTATAAACGCCATCTTGCGGTGGTGAACATATTTCATTTGAAATGCTTACCGTGTTTCTCTCAAGCCCTTTCACCTGATGCCCATATTACAGGGTTGAATACGGAAATTATAAATCGCCAAATTGCTGCCTCCGTCATATTGGATTTAGAATGACGTTGGTTTGCTTATTGTGTTTCTCTGATCAAGTTCTTTCATTTGATATCCACATCATGTACTATGAAAATGATGTATCGCCACTATGTACCATACGCCATATCATACTCAACATGGCGGCGGGTAATTCATTAGATAATGCATTTTATATTGAAATTCCAGCTCAAATTAAGATAGGAGATAATTAAAACGGTTAAGGTAAAATCCGTATTTTCTGCCTCTACAAAAATACTCAGAATTGCCAAACTATCCAAGTAACATTTTATTAGTTACCTAAATGCGCAACTTTGCCTTTATAACGACTTCGTATTGTATTGCTTACCGTTTCCGAATTTAAAATACCCAGAGCATATATACACCTATATAGGATGCTTTTAGAAAAATTGAATTAAAATTCAACGTTGGTGGGAACATGTTTTATAAAAAAAACTCTAATTTTGTGGGGCTTGAGAGGAGGACGACGACTCCTTCGAAAACTTTTGAACTACAATATGTACAGTGAGAGCGAAAATAGCGAGCAAAGTGAACGTTTTCGATGAAAAGTGAGTAAAAGTAAGACGGATCGAAAAAAGTGAGAAAAAATGTGTCGCCAGCATTCCTGTTAACCGGTAGTTCTAGGTCGAGCGGTTCACGAGGTGCAGCATGTGTCCAACTGTTAGGTAAAAATTCTTAAATGTAAAACTTTACCGTCTCTTACTTGAGTGCAAAGTTTCAATGCGTCAGAATGAGGTGCAATATTTCGTCTCAACTAATGAGAAAAATCGGTGTTTTCGTTTTTGTTAAATACTTGATTGCCTTAAATTTTAGACAGCCAACTATTTTGTGATGTGTACTTGTGCCTGCATAAGACATTTCTAGAACTGTTTTACGACTTATAACAAAACCAACGCTCGACTACGCAGTCACGTTGGCATGATTGCCGTTCGTATAATCTTCAACGTTCGTATAACCAAACAGAATCAAGCTTCTGACAGATAAACCAGTTAAATTGAAAGTTGATAAATCATATAAATGTTTGAGAGATCGTTGGAATGACTTCATGGATTTAACATTACCTGCGCTTCTGGTCTTCCTTCTGATGGTTGCAGCGTTTGCAGCGCCGGCTGTCGCTGTGGTTCCCACGGCGCTAGCCCCCGCATCCACGATCGCTGCCTCCGTTTTGTCATGCAATCTGGCATCCTTGCTCCGCGTCTTCACCGCCCGGTTGGACCGCCTGGTGTTCATCTGCGTGCCGCCCGTCGTCGCTGCCGCCCCCGCAGCGTTGTTATATGACATCGCCGCGACAGTCGCTGCCGACGTAGACTTTGTCTTCGTCGGCTTGCCCGAGATAATCGTGCCTGTGGCAGTGCTCGCGGTAACTAATGCTGCTGCGGTGCTGCTGTTGTTCTGCAATGGCTTTCGAACTTTCTCTATCAGCGGCTCGTCGCTATCCGAGCTCTCGCCTTGATGGGTTTTTGACGCAGCGGTGGACGACGTCTAGAAAATAAAATGATTCTGTCAGCGACAGTATTTCGACTAAAAGCAAAGCTTAGTAGACTGAAACTCCGCCGTGCTAAGCACAGAGGGATATCTGTAATTTTCGGACATATTTGGTTATTGATATCTAGTGAAACAGTTATTTTCTCTACTCATTGTCAGAGTTTTTTGGCCATAATATAGGATAGTTTTCTTAGAATCGTACATTTTGTTTGACGCGTCTGTACAAATAATTCAGATTCAGAAAAAAATATATTTCATGGGCTACGGCTTAAACGGCTTGATGCATTTTGACATATGAAATGTCTATAGATTTGTCTTGACAGTGTGAGCGACTCAACTGACTGACTGGCGGAAGGCCGGAAATTTGAAGTCTGTCATTTTTTTCCTGTTAAAGTTTTTGGTTATGTGGGTGTGTGACTCCGTTTAGTTTCCAGATTCTGGGATATTGAGCCCAATCAATCACCAGTTTATGGAGTAGTACCTTTTTTGTACCTATGTTTAGTTGTTTTGGTTGTTTTTTGGGTGCTACTCTCTTCATTTTTATGGGATTTTAACCTCTTCTGCAGCAAGTTATTTTTTATACCATCTAACCACGTGCATTAATGCATGTCTAGAAGAAGTTTTTTTTTTTTTTTTTTTTTTTTTTTTTTTTTTTTTTTTTACTCCAACTACTACTAGAAGAAGTTTGCTCAATATCTGCTCCCTTTTGACGGGAAGGCATCTACACTCCGCCGGCTATGTTGCTGTCTTGTAGCTGTTTTGCAACCAATTTCGATGAAAAACCACCCCTTACTCTCAAGAAAAAAAAACTCCGATATAAACAGGTAAAATACCATTTTAATTAACTCTTATAGATATTTATTTATTGATTATTGTTGACTGAAATTCTTAGAGGGTATTTGATTTTGTTTGGCATTTTTCGTATTCAAATTTGGGGCAGTGCCTTCATGCCATTCATCTCTCAAGTTTACTCCGTTACATTGATCATGATTTTGATATTTGAGCTGCAATAACTTTTTTAGAACAAGAGATAACTTTTTGAGGGTGTATTACTTTAGTACATTTTTACAAGTAACGCAAAGGCAAAAAAAGAAAAATGCACTAAAGTGATACACCCTCAAAAAGTTTTCCCTTGTTCTAAAAAAGTTGTAGTAGCTCAAAAATCAAAATCATGATCAATCTAACGGAGTACACTCGAGAAAAGGTGCCATATAGGCACTGCCCCACATTTGAACACCAAAAATGCAAAAAAAAAAAATCAATTAGACTAAGAATTTCAGTCAACAATAATCCTTATATGAATATAGATATATGAATAGTTAGTCAAAATGGTATTTTACCTGTTAACATCCCTGCCTTTTTTTTTCCTCATCGAAATCAGCTACAAAGCTGGAGGAGTGCAGATGGTGGTTTTCCATCAATGCCTTCCCACTAAAAGGATACAGATATTGAGCAAACTTTCTTCTGGACATGCATTAATGCACGTAGTCAGATGGTATAAAAAAGAACTTACCGGTGAACAGGTTAAAATACCTATCTTTAGATCGGTAGTCTATATAATGTAAAAATTGTAGGAATAAATTACGAAACAATGTACACTGCAAATATTTGTTATTAGGCATTAATGCACGAGCGCAATCAGGTAGGTTTATGGGACTACTAGACCCATAGATGTAGGCTGACTCCTAGCGCCTACATACTGTGTCGAAACAAAAAAAGTGTAACCCTGCTGCCAAATCGTGGACATGTAACCCGTACAGATACACCGTTTGCGTTAGCATATTATTCGGCAAAAAATCAAGTAGAATGACTCAATATTGTCAACATCGAAAAGAACTTACAACTGTTCTTCGAATTAGAGTTGCTTTACAATTACTTTTCTCAAGCAACCTAGGCATTCTGTCATGTAGCACCAGTGCTTATTTTCTTAACGGGTCAATTTACGAAGCTGAAATTCGGAGTGGTGAAATTGGTACACGAATACTATACTTTACCGTAAAAAACTTCAATTTGACGGCTGGGCGCCATCCTGGAAATTTTTTTTAGTAATATTCTGAGACTCCTCATCATGATTTCATAAACTAAGATAAAATATTCAAGAGTTATAGAAGGCCAAACATGAGTGGCATACGGCATGGTGTAATTTACGAGTACCTATCAACTAGGTCCGAAAAAACATCATTTCTGGATTCAGAATATTTCACGATTACAATATTTTCTGGCCTTTTTGATGTTAACTCTCTATGCATTATGATCTTTAATTTTCTATGTAGGGACAATTTAGTATGCCTTTGCAGGAAAGTAAAACAATTGAGTATGTGGCCACCCTGACAGATGGTTCTAAAATCCCTCTTACTTCCCTACCCCTAACTCGTTACATTCCATCATATATTTTTCCAAAACTTTATCCTATTCTGAATAACATGGAAATACGCTGTTTTCCAACTCACCTTCTTAACACTATTAACAGCCATCGCCACCTTCCCAGCCGCACTGCCACCGTCATGATGCCTAGTCTTGACCCCCGTATGGTCCTGATGTTCCGACCCTGCCGCCCCAACGTTGGCCTGCAAGGCGGCCTTTCGCGCCACCTTCTTCTTACCGCCTTCAGTCTCAGCGGTCATAGCCCCTCCTCCTCCGTGCGCCGAGCCATCCGATTCGTTGCGTTTCCGCTTGGCGGTTGGCGCTGGCTGAGCGGAGGCGTGGTATCGCGCAGGCCGACCTATAGGAGGCGAGTTCAGTTCGTCTGCCGGACTGCCTAACTTGTTGAGGGCATTACGGGTACGCATCGACGATCGAGTGGCAGGGGAGTGAGATGTCGTCGTGCCGCCGACGCCCGCGCCCGTACCGGACTGATCGTTTGGGATTTCTGAATGACGAAAGATGCATCGATGAAATAGAATAGAATAAAATTTGAGTAACTTGTTTCTACAATATCTTCAAAGAGAAATTAACCTGACCTCAATGACCCTTCAATGAAATATATTAAAAATTAAATCACTTAACCTGAGACCTCTTTATAGTACGTTTAGGGGAAAATCTTTTGAAAAACTTCCCAAATATTGCTCTTAAGCTATTCTATGCTTGGTTTGTTTGCATAACATTTTTTTAATCTGAGGGCGTCGCCTGATGCGGAATTCAAATACCCTAAGTACAGTAACAGGCGAGCGTTACACGATATGATGAGAAACTTGGCTTCCTTAATTCGAGAACTTGACCTGCAAAAAATGTGATTCCAGCAGAACGGAATAACGTGTCAAGTAGCTAGAGAAAGGTCCCCAGATGTAACAATGGGGGACTTATTTCTGTGTGGATTTCCAGAAAAGATGGTTTTTCAAACCAAGCACCATAATCTACTGGAGATTCATATTCGGAAATCTATTCACATAATTCCTCCGGAAACCTATCATAATGTGGTGGAAAACATAAAGAGATTTGTGCGGCTTCAAGAAGCAGACGCACATGATATCATGCTTGATAACCTCTAGCTTGCAATAAAAGTTTAAGATAAACAGTAAGGATACATTTCATTTGAAAATATTGGAGGAAGTGATCAGTTAGTTAAACCTACAAACTGGCTACCCTGTATCTAAAGCATTACAAGTTATGTATCATGTAAATCTATTTGTAATGCCTTTAGGTTGTAACAAAATTTTCAATTATTCTCACGCATATTTTTCAGAGACAATAAACAAAAAGGTATTTTGCCTAACTGGTTCGCCCATTTTAGAGTCGTAATATTAATTTAGACCAAGTGGACTGCCTTTTACATCCCTAAACCCACCTATGAGCAGCTGCTCCAGCAGACTTTTATTTTGCTTTCCATGAACCGTGCTGCTATTCGTCGAGCAAGAATTACTATCCTCGTCCGAAAGACCAGCGGGACTCTCAGATCCCACCCTTGTGTTCTTTTCAGGATTTGAGTACGTGTATAGCGGAGGTGTCATCCTCACTGGTAATGGTTCTAGATCGTCATCATCTTTTTTACTCTGTAAAAAGGAATGGGGAATCTATATACTGCACTTCCAAATCTATTAAATATTTTGTAAATTTTTGTAGAATTATTTCGCACATATTTTCTGCGAGGTAAGCTTAATCTAATAAAATATTTCTAAAACATGACTACTTCTCAACTTGGTAGCTCTAGTTTTAACAATGCCGCCTAAACTGTAAGTCATGAGTATAGGATCAAACTAAGTTGTACATTCCCGTTATAGAATCATTTTGTTGACATTTACTCCCAAATCAAAAATTTCTATATCAAAGTTCAACAAATCCAGCAACCTTACCTTTATTACATTATCTGTCTGCTGCTTCACATTTGATGTTGATAACAGTCCAGTTCCCTTCTTAAGGTTGTCTTGAAGAACACAAGTCAGTTCGCAGCATTGCTTGAGTTTATCTGATCTATCGTGATGGCATTTATTCTGGAGCAAAATAAAGCATAAGCAGATATATGCAAACGAATCAGCAAAACCTAATCTTACATGCTGGCGCTCTTTATTGGTGAACTTTCAAGGGTGCATACGGGTCACCAACGTGAATGTATGATGATTGTGATGACGGTGAAGACACAAGGAAACACATATGAGGTGATTTTACATTGACTAAGCGACATGTTATATAAACGCAAAAAAACGTCACACTTTCAATGTTACGTTCAAGTCGAAATGGCAATGCTGTAGTGCACGAACGAGAATTATGTCAACCCACTGAGCGCATTGTAATGCCTACCGTCACTCCCAATAAGAGGTGTCACGTCTCTTGGTTTTGCACTCCATTTCGACAAAACAACCACTCCGGCTCAAAATGGAGCAGTTTGGCTAATGTCGGGAGATTAAAGGATATGGACAAGCCACAGCGGCATCGTAGTCATGTTCATAGTAATACTCCTAAAAACGCGTCATCAGCGCCGCACATTTTGCGTTCGTATAACATGCCACTGGTAGCCTACGCGCAATGGTGAACAAAGCAGATACAAAACTGACAGTTCCCGTTCACTTTTTTCCAGTGACACTGCCTAAGGACATAACTTTCCAAGTTATTCATGTTGTGGTTAAACATACACGGGCAAGTAACAGTTGAACAAAGAAACAAATTGCTATAGAAAATTTCCTAAAAATCAGCATATAACGTTTGCATCGCCCTTACCACCTTTTGAATCCGTCAATTTACTTGAAGCTAAATCGAATTGAAGTCAATGTCTAACCTGTCTAACATTTTCACAATCTGCTTATGATGCAAAAGAAAATCTATTTGAAAGTGCATTTAAATGCTAAGTTTGTGAGTTCGCTATCTAGAATCAACGAAAAAAAAAACTATATCAAACCTGACTTATCTTCTTAGTCTTCACCCAGCTCTTCAAACATAAGACATGAGGAAAGTCTAGAGTCTTCAAAAATATTCTCTAACAAGGCAAATTTTTGATTTTATTCATGGTGAAGCCTCCTAATCGATACCTGACATTTTTTCATTGCAGTAATAAGGGTAGGATCGTAAGAATGAGTGAAGTATTAAAATAATTCTATTTCTGATTCTAATGTCGAATGGTCATCCAGTTATCAGTTGCTGAGCCAGGCAATTTTAAAACAATAGATTTCTACCAGACTACGTGTTTTGACAGTATACATATAAAGTAAATACTGGCTCACACTCGTGGAGAGTTTCAAATAACTAATTTTCTTTGATGTATATTAATGCATAAAACATAACCAACATGTCATAGTTTTTATAATATTCATACTTTCCCAAAGATTGGCCGCTAAGACCGCTCCTTCGTTCCTAGGGTTTCGAGAATAATATGCCAAGAGAGGACTTCCCCAGTTATACAATCCTTGGTCAATTCAAAATACAAAGATATCTGTAACATCCTTAAGCCAGTCAAGGTACCTTGGTTTTTAGGTGTTGCCTTCGCGGCTGCTTTAGCATAAAAAGATATTATACTGCAACAAAAACTCACTCTCAACGTATTGCTAATTAGCCAAAATCTATATTGGAAAGTCTTGTTTGTATGGTTGGTTATACATATACTCGTAGTCCATATAGGTGAATATACAAAAATTGGGTAACTTTTAGACAAATTTTGTTTACTATAGTTTTTAAGTCAAATGTCTACAAATTCGGGTATTTAAGACAGACGACGAAAGTTTACATAGGACTGAGACAAAATATGCAGTTTCATAGAAAACATATGGAGTTTATTAGAACTTTGAACAAATATCTTCTCTAATAACTACACGTCTTATAGTTATAGTAACTATAACAATAAGTAAATAGGGAACATCTGATCTCAAATGGAACATTACTCAAAACTTTTTCATACCATCCAATATATATTATACACTTGGTGCATGGTATTATATCTTTCTTTCCAGCTGCTTGATGACTGTTAGCATCGTCTTATCAAAATTGCCAAAACCAAATGTTGCAATTTGATTATTTTTTCTTTTGCACGCTTATGTCCAGTCTGGTCTGTTTTGTATTCACCACAGTTTGCTTTTGTCTATTACATTTCAAGATATAGATTATTTGAACTGTTTCTTTTTTCCTTATGACTTTTTATTTTAGTGTGGTAGTAAAAGTGGTGGTGAGGCGAAGCCTAAACACTAGGTCACCTTTGACCCTTTTTGCTGACCCCGTAGTACCAACACTGTACTACTCCACAAGTGGACTAACAATAATTAGTTATTGAATAAACCAGCTCCAGCAATGCAATGTACGTATGTTCATCTTGCTTCGATCTGGTGATTTTTCTTTTAGTGTAATATTCTTCTAATTGAATTTTAATAACTGGGCCTTCTTCACTAATTCCTTCTATATTTTTAGGGATGAGTATTTAGTCGAGTTCAGAGTTTTTAATTGCTTACTTCTGGACTTCCTCTGTCTTTCGCCAGTCTGCGCTAACAATAGGTCAATTTTCTTCAGGAACTGGTTGTATTTCTATCTCAGTATTTAGAGAATTATTCTGATGTATAAAATTAAGAGTTTGTTTGAACAGTAGCTTTTTTGTCTGTATCTTGACCTTTTACATTTTTTCTAGTTGCCCGTTGCTCCAAAATTTTTCTTTGCCCTTTCTTCTTTTTTAAGTTTGTAACTTTTGTTTTTCTTTGTATTTAGCTTATTTAATGTAGTCGCTTTTAATTCAGCTTTTCTTTTTTCTTTAATATACATATATTCTTTAGACAAATTCTGTTTTTTTTTTTTTTTTCGGGAGGTTCAAACTGTAATAAGTAAAAGAAATAGTAGCAGTTGAGATGAAAGCAATCTACAAAAAAAATCAGTACCGTGGAAGCCCGTCAGTCCATTGACGCAATATTAGACAAATGACTGACGCCAAAATACTGACGAAAATGACCTTATTTTGAGATTATAATTCGAACTAATGTTTCTTTTGGTACTTTCGAATATCACCAAGCTATATTTTAACATATAGTTAACTACATAGTATGGGCATCTGTCAAATGGCACGGTCTGCAGCTTTCTTCACTACCGACGTTAAAATTTAACAGGGATTCAATCTCGAGTCGGTGATATTTGGCGAGAATTTTATATTTGAACAACACACAACGGACTGACGAATGGATCTAAACACAAAATTTCTTATTTTTTTATACCTAACGGTGAGAATATTATATTAAAAAAGTTGTATTATTAAGTACATCACAGATTGTAGTGAAATAGCAAGTTTTCTTAATGGTAATTTTCGCTAGACGGCCACTTGATTGTACGTTTTTGGGATTGTGACAAGCCAAAGGACTGACGTTTTGAGGAATTTTTGAGTATTTTTTCAAAAACTTGTATTCAAAATAGATCGTTGCAATTGGGCGACCAAATAAAAGACTTTTAGTTGTTTTAAAATAAAATTGAATATAAAAAAAATTGATGAAACTTCATATCTATCGATTAATGACATTGAGTTTACGCATTTTTTGTAGAATCACCCATATGTACTTTCAAGTAATATTTTTTTAAAGACTTCGTGAACAATCAAATAGATGGATCCTCTTGATTTTACCACTCGTACTATTTATGGCAATTCTGTAGTCGACCTGTGACTACTTCTAATAATGCTACTAGAGTTCATCAAAAAATGTCATATTCCATGGTAATTTAATCTCATCTATGTCCAATAGCCAAAAGGCTGAGATGGTGTGTATTGTTACATCATTACATTTACTCATAATAGTATTTATTAGTATAGTATACCATGTATTCAAGCTGTGAATAATAATAATTACAATACTCTAAATTAAAAGTTTTCACACAAAATATATTACAAATACAAATTTTAATTTAAATATTGGAACACAATGCTTAAAAAATCTTACATTAACACATATAATAAACATAAACCAGTAAACATTATTTATGCTCCACTCCCATATTGAACAGAGCAGACATTTTCTATTGGCTGATGACTGTATAATATGAAACACACAAAATTTAATTTCTTTTTCTGTGTATAGAATAGTTTCCATTTGTTTTTCTTTAACTCATTTTGGATCAAGTTCCATGCTTGTAAGGTATCACGGTAAGGTCTAGGTGAAGAATTATTGTATTTTCTTTCCGATTAGTGGAAGAGCGGATCTATCCATACAGTAGTAAGATCCGAATTCTGCCGATTGTCAGGAAAGCAGCTAGAATTTGTTCAAGTTCTATGTGTTTTTGTGTGTGCTTATCTTGGCAATACAAACCATTTATTATTACAAAATCCACTTGGCTTATTTTGAATCTCGTGTAAGGCATGTAAATTGTTGTGTAAATGTTTACAAATTATGTGTGGGGAGGAGTCGCCTCATTTTGCTTAAAATTTGCATATTCCGCATGATTTTGTGTACAACTTTAGTTATTTTTTAGGATTTCTCTTTCGAAAGCAGATGATCCACTTTAACAAAACGTTATCTCTTGACGATGATCGGCTTCCCGTGAATTCTGTCGCGTTGCAAATATTAAACCAGAAAATGTTCGCACAGGCTGATTGAACATTTAATCTAATATTTTATTTTCATTATGATTGGTATTATTTATTTCAATTTTGATGCGACTTAATGTTTTAATTTATTTTAGAATTATCTTTGATTTCCATCGATGGTGGTGAAATCTAGAGTTATTGTTACATTTTGTGACAGCGAGTGGTCGGAAAATGTAACAAATACCATTTTTTATACCGAAGCAGCCTCGCAGAAGCCTAAATGCCGGAACACCGCGGCTGCTATGATGATCCCAAATAAATTTTGTTAATCCGATTTTTGAACTGTCTAAAGATAGTAGAACTGGGAAAAGCTTCATCTTGTAGATTGTTCCACAATCTCGACACGGTTAGGATGGGAGACCAAAGCCAGGCGGGTCTGACTGGAAGGCACATCGCGCGGCGGCATCATAGAAGAGTGCAAAGCCCGTTGGTGTAGCGGTAGAAGAGGAGCTAGATCACGGACGGCCCGCCCGTGCGAAAGGGTCCCGAGTCTGTCAGAAAAGAGTCATCGATCACTCGGACAGCCCTCCTCTGGACAGCGTTGAGCATAAATAATGTAGTCGGGGCTGCATCACCCCAAACGTGTGAGCAATACTCGAGGCTAGACCTTATATAAAGTGAGAAGGTCATGAGGAGAAAAGTACTTCGTAGCCCTAAACAAATAGCCTAGTTTTTTCGCAGGAGCTGCCGCTATTGACGAGATGTGTTCGTGCCAGATCAGGTTCTCGGTGATATGGACTCCGACCAGCCGAAATGAATGGCTCTTTGGCAGAACTCGGCCATCCATCGAAACCGGATGAGCGCTAGGACGCTTTTTGTTCGTAAAGGTGCAGAACTGTGTTTTGGAAGCATTAAGCTGTACAAGATTGTTGCGTCCCCAAGCAGTGATAACCTCCAGGTCTCTCGTCAGAGAGGAAGTCGTCGCTAGTCTTCTTTTTTCCAGCTCAGCGGCAGAGATCGGCTTGTCATTCGAGAGCCGCGAAAGAAATGGAGCAAGCTTCGCTGCACACCTCTTCAGTAGAATGTCAGGAATCAAGTCGGGACCAGAAGCGTTGCTGATCTCGATCGACAAGAGCACTCGTCTTATCGTCTTATGCCTGAGTTTTACCTCCCGCATATGTAGGGAACTCTTTGAATTGACGGCACATGGGGGTTGGAGGGACGCCAATGGTGGAGTTGGCAGCAAAGATCTTTGCAAGCACTTCCACCTTGGCTTTTGAGTCGAATACAATCGTTGCATCCTGATACGAAAGTGGTGGAAGGCTACTGTGTGAGAAGTTCTTTTCAGTCTGCTTTGACCAGCGTCCAGAAAGATCGACTGCCATTGTGGTGGAACATTACCTTGTGTCCAACTTTTATATCGTGCTGGTTTTTGGCATTGCAAACCGCTTCGTTATATTTGTTTCTGGACTCGACGTCGGCTTTTCTGTTCTCTAAGTGGGGTTTCCTAAGAAGGTTATGTGTGCCTTGATCTTCTGCTGGCGAGCAGTGTCACCCTGGTTTAGGCACTTTCACTGTATGAGGGATGGACTCCTTCATTCCCACGTGGATAATTTCTGTTATCGAAGAACATGCAGCCGACGCATCCGCGTCAGTGAAACAGACACCTCTCCAAGGAAAGGTAGAGAAGAAGTCTCGAAGCCCCTCTCAGTTGGCATGTCCGTAATGCCAAACGTTGCGGCCTGTGCGAGTTTCTGCTGCCAGAGAGGGTTCTGACCGAAATCTAACCTCCACAACACCGTGGTCTGAGTTACGCGGGGGGCAAGACAGCAGTGCTGTAAGAGATCCAGCAGGCTACTGGCATGTGACGAGACGCGAGGGAAAAAGGTAGGGCCGTAACCAGCTGGATCAGCCCTTGAATAAGAGCAAACGCTTGGACTGCATCGGTCTTGTTTGAGCCCACCCAAAGCTCATTATGGGCATTGAAATCACCGAGGAGAACTACCTCTGAATCGAGGTGATTGATGTTCAGGAAGTCGATCTTCAAGTAGGTCATCCCAGTTATGGTCCGAGGGACAGCGATAAAGACAGCAAATAAATTTGGGGGATGTTTTGGAGTTGAGGCGAAGCCGCAGAATGTCCTTTCAGTCTGGTTCCAAAGAAACATCACTGGAGCAGGAAAGACTGCTGCAGCCAAAAGTCAAAACTCCCCCGTTCTTTCTCTGATTGGTGTGCACCTCGTAATTTGGGCTAAGGTGGTTGATCAGTGCAGACTCTGAAATTTTAGTCTCCGCAAAAAAAAAACAGGACGGGACGATTGGATTGCAAGTAGTGATGAACAGCATCAATGTTGCTGTCAATCCCGCAGATGTTCGTGAAACAAATTTTATCTTCGTTGTTGTTCCCTCGCGTCTACCCTCCGCCTGGACATTCCGAGTGGAGTGAGTTTGCGTCTTTGTTTTGGAAGATAACCGACTGCATAGCTTAGGTGTGGAAACATACGGACATTTATAAGACCCTGGGAAAAGCTAGCGGGTGGCACCGCCTCAGTCGACTGGTCCTTATCTACCACCTTCTTTTTGCGTGTTAATGATATTAAATAGACATAAAGTGGCCCGTTATATCGCCACCCGGCAATCTGTACTGGGGTATTCCTTTACGCGTGTACAATTACTTGAACGGGACGAAGTTGTATACTAGATGCAACTTCCGAAACAAGCATTTGCACGGCCTTTTTCAGTCGCAATACCTTGCCTTGGAATGCACGAGATGCGGTGTTGCCAAGCGAACCAATGATGCAAGGTTGCAGAATTTGATCCTAAGCAAATTCGATACAATTAAAAAACGTGTACGCTCAAAATAAAACCATTATTTGGGCGTAGAGAGTAAACTAATGCATATTTTCAATATGTATCTTAATTTAAGGACCTGCTGTAACGTATTGGCAACGCGGCAGTGACGCGTCAGCGTTGCTAGGCAACGCGTTGATGAGCTTCGCTATCCAGCGGACTTCTATCTCTTTCTGACATATATCTCCATGTATAGACACTTCTCTCTCGTACAGATTGAACTCAAGCAGCCAGAGAAATTTGGTTCTCAGTATATATTTTGTGGGCGACGCTGTCAGACGCAAAGCACGGTATTGGCGTGTGAAAGTCGCTGTAGATCGCGTGTCTTATCTATAAATATTTCTATATAGTTATAATGGCAATTGTCCGGCGAAATCCTTGATTTGTGAAATATATACTGAAAGGTGCGTAAAATTACTAGAGTTGAAAGCGTATAAACCCCCTACAATCCCCAGTTATCAACCCCTAAAAATGAAATGATCAGGAACCGCTGAAACGTCAAAAATCCAAGTTTGAGCAATTTCTATTTTTTTTTCGTGTTTTTGGCCCTAGCTCCACCGCGACTGGGCCGATTTTCAAAAACTTTTGGCTCATTGGCATAGTATTAGCATTGTGTAAAAAATTTCATCGAAATCCGAGCGGTGCTCCTCAAGTTATAGGCGATTATAAGATTAGCGGACACACCGACAGACAAACAGATCGACGTAAATGAGTGACACGGTTTTTCGTAATGTCAACATCCAAAAAACATAACATCAGTTTCGAAAATTTTTGCGGTTACAATACTTCCCAATCAGTTGGCGTGGAAAGTAAAAATAGGTTTTTGAATTAAACCGAGTTATTTATATAGACTTTCTTAATTTAAAATGGGAATTAGATGCTCTTTTTACATAAATCGTATAATTTTGGATAGTTTCGAGTGGTATTTTAGAAGAAATCGACTATACTATTAGGTCCAACACTTCACAAACGTCTCCTGATTGGTCAATTTTGATTCGCGGGTCAAACATCTCGAGGGTCTACACATATACTAAAATTGGCCCTAATTGATTTGTTTCATATAACTTACATGATTCTCATTCACGTCTTCTTCGGCGCACCTGTTATCTCCCGTCGATTCTAATCTATCCGATCCCGTTCCGACGACGACGTCCGTGACACCGTTAAGACCCTCCATCTTGGCCAGCTGCGATTCTATATCCAACATGTTAGGCACTTGAGTTTTCGACGATGCGGCCGTCGATAAAAGATCCGTATGCGGACTTTGGCTTGCCTAGAAAGAAAAGTATCACTATTTAGTATAGGCATAGTAAAATTTTGAAACGTGAATAGAATGAGCAAGCAGATAACCTCAGCATGGCATGTGATGAAAGCTGATATTTGACAAATTGTAGCACCGCTTTGTCAGAATTGCGAAGGCACGAATTCACGAAAATATTATGTAGATCAAGAAGACTGGATTAAGCAACACTGTCAAAGAATAGTTAGTATAAAAAAATATGTTCATTTTCGTTCTATTTTCGTTTTTTATGCTACCTCTCACATACAGATTGCGAATGAACTGTGGACTGACAACTGACGAGACATTGCCTGGAAGTCAATATCACCGCTCACACGCAGTTTTCCCGTTTAAGTTCAAATTCAGCTATTGAAATAACTGGATACAAAAACTGCGACTAGGTTCGAACGGAAAAACTGGAACCCAGTATGAATGGTAATTTTGTCTTTCATGCAAGGGCTAAACAATTCCAGACCCCATCGGTACCCGTATATGAGTGGGCAGCTTTAGTTAATAACAATAATAACAATAACAATAATAATAATAACAATAACAATAATAACAATAACAATAACAACAATAACAATAATAATAATACGAATGTCTGGCCGGTACCCTTACCGGCGGTAAGTCCCTTGACTGCCGCCAGCAGTTTCAAACCCGCTACCGCAACGACGTAGACGGTACAGCCAGCAACGCAACGTCTGGCCTCGACCAAGTGGTTGAGCTACTGTTATTAACACCGAAGGAAGGTCAGTACGGCCAGCACACCTCCTGTTCATCCATGCGTGGTTTTTGTCTCTCTTCCACGCCTGAGTTTTAACACTTTTAGGTAAACAATTACACCTACCTATCAAAAGAGAACACAATTACTCAGAAATGGAGAAAAAACAAAATGAATCCTCGGAATGTAACGACGTAATCGGGACTCGACGCAATGCGACGAGGTCCGCGTCCGGCAGGGAGCGTAGGGGAAAGTCGCACCCGGTCGTCATCCAGCGAAAGCCCCCCACAGATAGTGTGAGAAATAACTCGAATGACCCCATCCAACAGCTTCCTGGGGTCGAAGATGGCAATCATGTTGCTGGAAGCCAAGAGCCCCAGCCCATAATGCCAGACAATAGGAGGAGAAAAAGGACCACGTGGACTACCGAAATGAACAGATTCGTGGTTCGCTCCTACTACAGAATCACTAAACTAGAAACATCCACAAAGCCCTATGGTACTGAACTACACAAACAAGTTATCATGAACTTCCCTCACCTGCAAGGCAAAACTGTGCAAAACATACTAGACCAGCGCCGATCCGTATTCATAAACAACAGATTGAAGGCAGATGAGATAAAATAAGAGAAGAGATATCCATAGAATTAGGAATGCAGGAACAAGCTCCGCAAGAGCATACAGAGAACCAAGAACAAATTGAGGCAAACGATGGCCAACCCTCTAAAAACGCAGATGAGTTCAGGGGCTTGTTGATGAGGTATGATGGTGTGGAGCCAACTCTTAAACCAAGTCTACCACAGCTAATAATAAAACCCCATACATCTGAGTATATCGCTGAAGTTAACAAAGTAATAGATAACGAGATTACAGAAGATACAACCTTAACAGCTCCATAGCCTGTTGTACACTGGAGCACTTACAGTCCTAAAATTAAATGAACAGAGAGTTGGCGAACAATGTGTAAGAAAAAACAGAAAACTGCCAGCCTGGGAGATGAGGATATCGCGTAATATAGAGGAGATTAGAAAGGACATAGCAATACTCACCCAGTGCCGCAGGTCTGAATGTAGTCTGAGAGTAAAGAGATCCGCAGAGAATGTGATAAACCGTCACTGCTCGGAGGAGATCCCAACAGCTGTAGAAGTCTTGGACTACCTGAAGCAAAAACTAGCAGCTACAGCACTGCAACTTCCAAGGTACAAGAAAAGCAACGAACGCCGGAAACAAAATCGAGCATTCGAGACCTATCAGCGAGGCTTTTACAGGAACTTGCAGGCGCGACGGAGGGATACAGAACAGAACAAGGTTCAGATTCCTACCTCATCAACACCTTCTGGTCAGGAATTTGGAGCAATCCAATCAATCATTCCACATCTAAATGGTACCGCCAAGAGAAAGCAAATAATTCAACTTTTAGGACCTTGCTCGACTGGAAAGTTAGCTTAGATGACGTGGTAACTACTTTACGAAAATTACCAAACTAGAAAGCCCCAGGATCAGATAAGCTTCAGAATTATTGGCTAAAAACATTCACTTCGGCTCACGATGTGTTACACCACAATCTTAGAGCAGCCAGATATGTTGCCAGAGTTCTTAACAATGGGAATAACATATTAAATCCCAAAGTGCGGCGGTCACTCGAACGATCCCGCAAAATACCGACCAATCACCTGTCTGCCGACTATTTACAAGGTATTGACTGCTATAATTACTGAAAAGATATATTCACACCTAAAGCGGAATACTATAATAGACGAAGAGCAAAAAGGTTGCCGAAAAGGGTCTCGAGGCTGTAAAGAGCAACTTGTTATAGACTCTGTCATAACTAATTATGCCAAGAAGAAAAAATATCCCTCTACATTGCATACATCGATTATCAGAAAGCGTTTGACAGTATACCTCACTCTTGGCTGTTATAGATGCTTGACCTTTATGGGATCGAGTGCCACAGCAAACAATTTCTGGCACATGCTATGGCGAATTTGAAGACACGGCTCTATCTCAGCACCCAAGATACGCAATTTAGTGCCGGAGAGGTATCCATCAAGAGAGCAATATTTCAAGCAGACTCTATAAGTCCGCTATGGTTCTGCTTAGCGCTTAGACAGTTAACAACAATGCTAAATAGCCAAAACAAAGGAATACTGTTAGGTGGCAATGAAACACGCATTTCACATCTTTGGTACATGGATGACCTCAAACTTTTTGCAGAAACCAAAGAACATCTTCATAAGCTTCAGGACTGTGTAAGTAAATTCAGCACTGACATCAAGATGCTGTTTGGCTTAGACAAGTGCAGGATCAGTTGCATGGTAAAAGGCCAATGGAGTAAGCATTCAGGATATGAGCCGAACCAAGTGGAAGGGAAAATTGAAGGAATGCAGCAAGATGAACAGTATAAATACTTAGGCTATCTACAAGCGCCGGGCATAGACCAGAAAGCTGCAAAATAAAAGGCAATGGAGCACTATAGAATACGTTTGAGGGCAGTGCTGAAAACAAGTTTGTCAGCTCGTAATACAGCACTTGCTGTCAGCACCTACGCTACTTCGGTCCTTACCTACACGTTTGGCATACTGAACTGGACGGATACAGAACTCAACGCACTTAATGTGGAAATCAGAAAAGAATTCCGTAAACACCGGGGACACCACCCACATAGTTCCATAGAGCGGTTCCATCTACCGCGAAGTGAGGGTGGCAGAGGAATACCTTGCATACTTACACTACATCACCGCCAAGTGGACAATCTACGCCAGTACTTCCTCCAAAAAGCCACATCCAGCAGAATGCATCAAGCAATAACACAGACGGATAAAAAGTTGACACCACTAAACCTTTCAGAAACATCTTTCAACCCTGAGGCAAAGATAACCCCAATGCAGGATCTGGTTCGCCAATGGAAAGCCAAACCACTACATGGTCGGTATAGGAGCCGCATAGACACGAAGGCTTCCCAAGGATGGTTCCAGTCAAGTAATCTGTTCCTGGAGACGGACGGCTTCATAGCCTTCATCCAGGATCAGGTAGTCCCAACAAAGTTGTACCGAAAGCGTATAATGCATGAGAACGTTGAAGATATCAGATGCCGCATATGTGAGGAAACAGATGAGCACATAGATCATATTGTAGCAGGCTGCTCTCCCTTAGCTCCTAAACAATATCTTGAAAGACACAATGATGTGGCCAAAATACTTTATCAACCTTTGGCTAAAAAGCATCTAGGAGAAACTGGTACACAGCCCTACTATAAATACACGCCGCCACCTGTGATATAAACGGAGACGTCTAGGCTGTACTGGAACCGTAAAATCATAACTGACAGGCCTATCCCCAACAATATTCCTGACATAGTGCTCACACTAAAAGAAGAAAGAACGACGTTTATAATAGAAATAGCTGTGCCTCTTCCTACTAATATCCAAACCACCCATGCGGAAAAGATCAATAAGTATTTGCCACTCTCCGACGAAATAAAACGCATGTAGGAAATGGGCAATGTGTCTGTAATACCAGTTATCATAGGAGCTACTGGAGAGATACCAAGGAAACTACACAAGAGTCTGGAAAAGCTACAGCTCCATCCAAAAATATACTTGCAGTTGCAAAAAGCTGCACTGCTGGGAACATGTAGGACAGTACGTAGGGTTTTAGGAGATGAGAACCGGATACGGAGAAAAAACGGCTGCAGATCTATTTCCTTACTTTGGCGGTTAGCCTGAGGGAAATATTAATACCTTCGACAGAGGAGTAAAATAGTATAAAATAATAATAATAATAATCCGTGTGTGGTTTCGGAGAAAGAATAGCCCCACGGTATAGCCTACCTGTCGTAGAAGGCGACTAAAAGGGTAACCGAACGTGCCCGGTATAAGGCTATCATTATTCAGTAACGGAGGAAATGGTGTTTGTTGCTTGCCGTTTGTCAGCTTAAACGGCTTCGGTGGCTTTGGCCGCCAAAGCTGGCAGACCCAGCACCAAACAACCTTGATGGAGACCAGCTACCTCCATTGAGTGTGTTACCTGCTATGGAAACAAGAAGTAGTGGTAAACAGGGCGCAGGTGAAGTGAGGGCTCCTACCCTTCGGAAGCGTCAGGAAGATGAGCCTGTAGCGGGGCCCAGTGGATTGTGTGGCACTGCCTTGCGGAAGGATTCCACATAGAGGCAAGTCCTGGACAAGAGAAGAAGTGATGATACACCGCAACTTCGTGATAGTCACCACACGGAGCAAACTCCAAGTGAACTACTCGAAGTACTGGAAACAAGTAT